TCTTTAAGCTTCTTATGCCGTATCGGGAGCGACCCTCTTTTGGGAAAAGAGGGCGCCATTCCATACTCCGACAATAGTCGCCTCAGCAGTCTGTTTATATACGTCTATGATGTTTTTCGCAGTACCTATTTTTTTCTATTTAACACCGAATTCTTCCTTCTCTGCATATTTAGACCAAAATCTGAACGACCAAATTATAACAACAAAAATAATGAAAAACAAGAAGTAAAAAAAAACAATTAAAAACAGTGAATACACAAACAACAATTAACAACGAGGTAACAAAAACAATTAATGAAAATTAACTAATTAAAAAGTTATCACTAAAATTGCTCTCAAGTGTACGGAAGCCGAATGATACATTCGAAACCAATAGACGACGAGAATCGACTGATGAACCAATCAAGTTGAGCGTCAGCGTGCTCAACGTCGTATCGACCAATAAAAAGTGTGCTCACGACTTATGTCGCCAATTATAATTATGTTATACAATAGTGAACAGACAAGCGAATGAAAATTACGGCAATCGCGCGCGCCGTAGCCCGTTGGCTATACAGTATATAGTAATACAGCTAGTCAGCTACGGCTACATCACGTAGATTATATGTCCTCGTGGCAGCTGCCCGCTGCGCCGTAAGCTTGGATAATTTAAGCGCCTCGAACCAAAGTACCCAATAGCTAGTTATGGTTTTGACGAATATCATAATTGTGTCTATATTGTGAATAGCCCCTATTTAGTTAGCTATTCTAAAAACTACCCATTTCTACACTATAGACCTATTATTGAACAGTTTACGGCAGGGCATAAGCTTTTTAAATACTTAGTCTTACAATGACGACTTGTAAATTTAAAATACTGGTTTACCGCATTGAAGTAATATGTACTTACGTATAGAACAGCTATTTCAAACAAAAAATGTGCGCTACTCTGTGTTCGCGCGGTTGGTTTTTTATCATAGAATAAACATAGGTAGAATGATCAATAGGTAATAGCACATAAAGTTGTACGCGCAAATCTGGTTAAACCCTACTTTCTAATAAGTTAAAGAGCGCAGTGGGAATGGTCCGTCGGGTGAGCAAGATCGTTTTCGATATTTTCTATCAGGTTTGTACCAAATGAACTCTAGTTAAAACTGATTTTACGTGTTTAAAATGGAAGTAAAAATCCTTTTTCATTGTTCCGTAAACATGGTTAGGGAGTGGAAATATACTCTCTAACTGTATGTCATCAACCCCACTAACAATATCGTCGACGGAGAAAAAGTAATAAGTAGTGTTTCTTCTTCAAAATAGATTTTGTTACTGGCTCATCTACTAATTTTCGAACAAGTCGAAGTCGAAGAAGTCGTCAACATAATTGATAGAATCAGGCGTTACTTTGCGATAATCCATTATAATAAAGATATTAATATTTACGTTGCAACCATCCGCTAAATTATCACCTGAAGATGCCTCGTGTAGAGGCGAAAGACGTGTCGTATTATCGTCGATGGTGTGTCTTTCCTAGAATAGTGATGTTGGGGGTAGTGGTGTTGGGAGTAGTGGTGCTGGAATTAGTGGTGACCGGATTAGTGCACGCAATTGAGGGAGGGCGGGAGGTGCTCTTCAATCTAGGTAAGACACATCATTGTAATTAATTTAGCGGATGGTTGCAACGTAAATATTAATATCTTTATTAGTCGTCAACATATCGACGACTGCAGTTTCCTGCCGTTGGCGAAGTGTTGCTCGTGTTTGAGTGATTAGTGCGACACTACATGTTATCGTTCCCATGTTTTTTTTTAAATTAAGTTTACAAACGAGCACACAGGTCCACCTGATGGTAAGGGGCTGCTGTGGCGCATAAACCCCTGAGGATTAAGATTGAATGCCTCGTTTCTAGTACAAAGGGTCTCCGGGCCTCTACACTTACCGCAACAAACAAGGTGTACAACCTCGGTTGATCCGACCCATTCGTGCTACAACCATGATATAGCTGTAGCGTCGCTCTACCACATAAATCATCAGAGATGAGATGAAATTTTTAATTGTATATACCTAATATCGATTTAAATCTGTAGCCAATTTCAATACCGCACCACCAATTTAAACTAACTCTTCATGGTAATTATTTATTTAAATAATTAAAGCTGTGTTACAGCGACGTAAGAATATCCACTACACACATATCTTCCCGTGGGTGTCGCAATAGACTACATATGGAAACAAACCAGGACATAGACAGCAGTATTTAACTGACAGCAACCAAAAGTAACTGCGGTTACCAATGCGCAATTTGCGGCAATTTATGAGGGATGCCTATCTTCAGCAGTTGACTTTTGAAAGACTGCAATGGATGGTTGGGGGAACTTTACAGACTTTAACCCTTCAATCTCTATCGCGCCGCGGTTGAATTCGACCGCGGCTCTATTCCGTCAAAATTCAAGCGGTCAGATTCGACTGCGCACACCCGCAGCAATTTAAACCATTAAAACTTATATTTAGAGACTACTTTTCTATGAAGTTTGGCATTATAGAATTAATGTGAAATTTTCTATACTGTAATGCAATAAAAAACAGTTATACTATGGATATTTATTTATAATCTACGTTCATTTCGTACGCCATTTTCGCGTGAATGTTATTGAGTTGATTTTTGGATTTTTCTAGTGTTTTATTAGTGTTTTAGTATAGTGTTTTATTATAAAATTGTAATGAAAGTTTTTGTGTGAATATAATTTATATTTTTACGTAAATAATTTCAAGTAATATATATTGAAATAGTTGTGAATTTCAAGCTGCCGACATTCGCTTGGTATGTTTTGTTTTTGTTATCAAAATATAATAGTCTTTTTGTAATGAAGTAAAACCTGACTTTTATATAAAGAATTTTGTATAGATTTTATAATGCCAAACTTCTTCATAGAAAAGTAGTCTCTAAATATAAGTTTTAATGGTTTAAAGAGCTGTGGGTGGGTGCGGTTGTATGCGACCGCTCGGAATTTGACGGACGCATGCGACTGCATGGGAATTTTAAGGGGACTGAGGGGTTAATCACTGAGTTATATGATGAAAGGCTGCGGCTGGATACTGGGTCAAATAGTACATGGTGAAAAAATGGCCAGACGTCAAGGGTTAAGTGTTTAACAAGGTCAAACGCAAACGCGATCCGATTTACTATCGGAGAACAGTGTCGGTATAAAAATTGTTTATCATCATCATCATAATTACTACAGTCCACAGCTGGTCTTCCCCAAGGAATGGCAAAAAATCTTCCGTATAAGTAATGATACAAATATACATGATTAGATGAAAACAATTTCGTTTAAAATATTCTACCAGCGCAACCGGCTTTTTGTCTTGTTTTGTCTTAATACAATCTGATAGCTTCTTAAGCCAATTAGCAAAGTGTCGCCATCGTAGAAACCTGTCAAGACATCATATCATTCTAATGGACCAAGATTAAAGAAATAACAGTATTTCTCTAGACTTGACGAGATGAGCAGCAGCATGAGATGTGCATCTCTTTGCATTTTCTTTCGCATATACCATGGAGAGTGCTCTGAGGAATTGTTCGGATTAACCCCGGCCGCCAAATTTCGTGAACGCACTACGCGGCAAACGTCCCGATACCATCCACACCATCTGGATGCTTGGCGGTCCACCACAGTACGTTTCAAAAGGAGTTTTCTTCCGCGTACAACCTCTCTGTGGAATAGTTTACCACCGGCGATTTTTCTGGACCGATACGGCCTGGGAACCTTCAAGAAAAGAGCTTACTCCTTTCTAAAGGGCCGGCAACGCACCTGCAATTCCCCTGGTGTTGCGGTTGATCATGGGCGGCGGTAGTCACTTAACATCAGGTGAGCCGCATGCTCGTTTGCCCCCTCTTCTATATATAAAAAAGCGTCTTCTTTATAATAACTCAAAATTATAAAAAAACTGCATTCGCCAAACCACTTGCTTAAGCGTACCAACAATGCTAAAATCCCCGTATGATGCAATTTACGGAGAAGGCCTATGTTTAGCAGCGGTCATTTATAGACCGTAATGAAATTGATCTCGAGTGAGTTTTAAAATCTACATTTGCAACTGTTTGAGTTTTATATTTGTCATACTTCAAGTTGTTTTCAAAATACAATAAAAATTACTTTGATTTTCACAAAGCCAATCTCACGCGACTCGTAATAATAGCAAATAACATTTTTTGTTTTAACTAAGGTAAAATAAATATTTTACACAAAAATGCTGTTATAAATAAATAATAACTTTTGACAAAATGTAAAAACCGACTTCAAATTGCTAAAAAAGAAGTTACTTATTTGCAACCCTTAGGGGTGGAGTTTTTTCTCCAAATTTATATGGGACCATCCTTAAAGTATAACTTATTCAAGAAAAAATGAATCATTAAAATCGGTTCTTTATCTGAGAAGATATGTGAAATTCCTCAAACAATAGTCCAATATGAAACCTTTTTCCCTATTTTTCTCCATTAGCGGCGGTATTTTTATATCAAAATTTAATGCGACTACCCTTGAGATAAAGCCTATTTAATAAAACAGGATTATTAAAATCGGTTCACAATCTGCGGAGATATCGCGTAACATACTCCTCTTTTTGGAAGTCGGTTGATAATGAAAATCCATGAAAAAACAGTTTAGTCAAAATTCTTTTTGAAAAAATCAACCACCCATTAAACAAATATTTCGTCATTTTTTCTCGTTTATCGTCGTCACTTCATTCATTAAAACACTTATTGCAATTCAAATAATCATTAAAATAAATCAATAAGTAAATTTTATTTCCATAATTAAAAAAGTCACATTGCGAGTGGCGATACATTTCCTACTCGCGTATATGACCTACTATTTTTAAAATGTGTCGCCGTGGAATAAGTCGAGGAAAGAATCAATAAAACTTTTTTAAATACTTAATCTGACTTTTAACTAATTGAAAACATAACATATAATAGGGATAAAATGAAATGTATACAAATACAGTTTAAAATCTATTGTACTTACATGGTCATAAAACGTAGCACGAGTAAGTTGATGCTGGCAGCTACCACCGCCAGTCCAAACAAAATAAACACAAGACTTAATGCCACGTAGCCTGGTTTACTGGTTAATGCCTGATCATTCTGAAAATTAATTTATTTACATGTGAATATCTATATTTAATTTATTCATACAGTAATTGCGGATATAATTAAAAAATGTGTTGAAATAAAGTTTTCAGCTTCATTGCAACTTGAAACTAAAATAGCCTAGCTGGGTATTTTATTATTATCAAAGCCGGTTACATCATAGTAACTTATTTTTTATATCAGAGGGCATTTGAAATACGCACACACATTCCTTGGGGAAGATTTACTTCAGCAATGGTCTTGTAGGCTTTAATGATGTCGATGATAACACAAGTAATTGAACGCAGACATGTTTACCTCTCAGAGCCGTGGTAGCTCAGATGGTTAGCGCTCGCTTTAAATTTCACAATACGCGAGCAAACCGGGTTCGATCCCCTTCGGCACCAATGAAATTGTTAATTGCAATTTTAAGTGTTGATTTACCACGTGCACCCCATAACACAGTCTTCCAGGCAGAATACATGGGTATCATCCAAGCAGCCATAGCAATAGATGCTAGGAAGGTGAAAGACTTCTCCATCAGAATACTGACCGACAGAATGGCAGTACTACAAGCTCTGAGTTGTAATGTGGCGATCTCGGGACTGATATATGAGTGCCACCAACGATTGAATGAGGTATGTAAGCACAACAATGTGACTCTGCAATGGATCAAGGGACACAGTGGATCTAGAGGCAACGATGCGGCAGATGAACTGGCCAGAAGGGGATCGGCTCTGGTCACTATAGGGCCGGAACCTATAATACTAATCCCCTTTGGCTACGTTCGTTCACTAGTACGTAGATACTTCAATAACTTACACGCTCAGCTTTGGAAAAATGTAGTAGACTATAGACAAGCTAGGGAGGCCTTACCTGAAATAAACAATCGTCTAATCAAGGTTTCAATCAGACTGAACAAGCCACAGATCAGGATAGTAATAAGTGCTATCACAGGGCATGGCTCTTTTAACAAACATTTGTTCACCATAGGTGTTACTGATAGCCCCCTGTGCAGGGCATGCATGGGAGAGGAAGAAACGGCGGCTCAGGTGTTGCTGAAATGTCCGGAAGTCGCTTCATACAGGGCTAAACATCTCGGCACGCCGGAATCGCTCCCCGAAGTTGCTTGCAACATCAAAGGACTGTTGAACTTCTTCGGGGAGATATCATGGCTCGAATAATCACACTATTCCTGCCCACACGCAAAATACGCGCTTAGGCGTGGAGTTGCGGAAAACAGCCCATCGTAAACTAAACTAAACTACCACATGCTCGGCGGTGAAGGAAAAAACATCGTGAGGAATCCTGCATGTCTGAGAAATAAGAAAAAAATATTTCGAAGACATGCGAAGTTCGCCAACATACATTGGGGCAGGGCGGCGAACTATTCCTTGCTCTAAAACCCTCTCAGAAATAAGAGGAGGCCTGTGCCCAGCAGTGGGACGTATATAGGCTGTAACTTTATGTTTACCGTCGTCTTGTTAAAGAATGGAATAAAAATTACGTTGTCAACTTAATGAATGAAATAGAATGTATCTTCACCAGGAACTGGGTGCTAGTTTGTTATTTAGTATATATAATATTAATTTAGGGATGATAATAAACCCTGGTAATGAGATGATCACTACAAAGCTACTTCTAATTTGTATTGTGTTTATAAATTGTGTAACTATACATGATTTTAAGGTGATTTTTTTATCCCACTGGGTTTCTTGCTGGTTCTTCCCAGGACAGAGATTTTTCGGAACCAGTGGTAATTAAACAAAACAGTGACTTTCTATAAGTATTATTAATCTATATTGAATAAAAAAGTTTCTGTATCCGTATCCATGAATTAGTTTAAAGCATAGTACAAAGACATAATTTCAGAAAACAGAGGGTTATATCTATTACCCACAATTGAAAACATAAAAAATATAATTATGTATGTTACATTTTATATAAAAAAATTGTCTTATAAATACGTAGATAATAATATGTAGAACAAATTTGTTGTAAAATATTTTTACTTTCAACTTTTTAAATATTAATTACAAATACAGACAACAGATGGCGTTACAACAAAAGTTTTACTAACAACTAACAATACAGATCGCACTTTTACTCAATAGATGGCACTATTGGTATTATAAGCCACGCTGTTTTGAGTATCACGACACTTAATATAGGAACATAACGTCAATGTCAAAGTTTCTTTGGTTTTTTATTACTTTCGTTGAAGTGCAGAAAGCAGGTTCAATAAGCATCTTTTTTTCACTTTTTCAGTAATTTTATTTATTTTGAATTCGATTGATGATGATAGATTTTCACAAACCATTAATTTACAACTCATGACAAAAATAAACATAGTGGTCTAGTGATAATGAATAGTATTATTTTCGCCTCATGAGTTGAGGCTCATCCCATTTATTTAAATTACTGATACATCATATTTTACGATATCCACGTGAAACTTAAAAATATTAGAATGTTACATACGTGGGTACACACATCCAGCCCCTAAACCGACAAATTCATAATGTTGACTCTGAATAAAATGAGAAACAGGAGGCCATTTTAATAAACAAGTTTACTTACTTGCAAAGCGACATAGTCACCAAATCCAATAGTAGTAAGTGTTACAAAGCAGTAGTAAAAACTGTCAAAGTAACTCCAGCCCTCGTACCGCGAAAACACCGCTGCTCCTGAAATTATCGGTATACAATGTTTATTAATACTATCCACGATTTATCAAAAATGTCTCATTGGACACTATAAAAAGCACTCAGTGCGTTAAAATCTGCTAAGTTATAAACGCTATATTATTGTCGGTGCTAGTTTAGTGTGGCTAAATTGTACAGTTTCTTTTTTTACGAATTACAGAACTGCGAAATAGAAACCTTTCAATTCAATATAGATTATATAAATAATACTTATTGAAAGGCACTCTTACGTTTAATTTACTACTGGTTCGGAAAAAGGCTCCAGTACCTTCCTGTAGTCCCAGTTGAATTTGTTCCAAAATGTACAGTTTAGAATAATTTAATAAGTTACAATTAACTACACAAAAGAAATTATAAATAGCGATGGGTATATTATATGGGTAGCGATAACTTAATTCCCAGGGGTTATTATCATCTTACAATCTTTGTTTAATAGAAGAGAGATAAGAGAGAGTTCTTTAAACTCGTGTAAATGGTGATTGCGCCATAAACAAACTACTGAACTGACAAGAGCCAATCGGATAGCGGCTTTAGTGTTTACGTTCCTGTACTTTACCTCATACATCCAAGAAATCCTAAAAATGTTACATTTAACTGTACATCTATAACTCGTGTGTATGAAGGACACCACTTTAAAACCAGGCTGCTTGCTATATAGTATAACGTGTTAAATGCCACACAACTGATGTTTTATATATCTAGTAACATTTTCTTTGTCACAAGTGACTTTTTGCAAAAAATCGGTGCATTATATTGTAAGACATTATAACTATTCTTGAGGATATTTATATGGCTATATATAATTAAAATTTTCTACATACATTTTATTTATATCTATATATCAGGTCAAGTGTACAGAGATTATATTTACATAATTAAAACATATGCTATGTCGTTAGTTTTACTTACTTATCACCGTACCATATGCTCTATGGTGAAGGAAAACATTATGAGGAAACCCGCATGTCTTATAAAGAAAAATATGTTTCGAAGACATGTGAAGTCCAAGTTCCTCTACTACGTCAATCACAAATACATTAATATTCATTGTCACATCATTAAATTTATTCATTAATTTATTATAGCCCATTAAAGTGCACTTTTGAACATAGTTTCCATCATAGAACGATATTTGTCACAATTGACACACTTGGTTGTTATTAGGTAGACACAGCTGCCCATCTCCTAGTCTGTTTCCCTCTGTCGCCTCTTACGATACCCATGGGACGATTCACATTTAATATGCTTTTTACTATATATGTTACTCCTTTTCACATGATATGGGATTATTATACCAATATATAAAGCGAATAATTCATCAGCATAAACAAATATAGCTAGCAAAATATACTTACATTTATCGAGGCGCAAAAATCAGCATGGATCAAAATAATTCATATGCAGGGCTAAAACTGAAAAAATTAATTGTTTCAAAATAAAAGGAAAACAAATGGAAACATTATAAAATAAATAAAAAACAGGCAAAACTAATTAAGACGCACAGCTTTCTCTTTAGTATTATTTTAGTTCTATTACAATATAAATTTATGCCATTACACCATTATAAATCTTGTTAAGTTCAGAATTCAATAACAGCATTTAAGATGATATCTGGGCTGCAAAAAAATTTGAAGAATAGGTTTTTAACAGTCTATAGCTGTATACAGCTAGACAGACAACTGCAAAAGGCAACTAGTTCTCGGACTATGTACTGATGAAAAATTGATGATTGAAACTGGACCGAATTTTTTAAAGAACAATTTAAAAGTGTAGCTGTATGTTTTTCTTTTATTTTTATGTTTGTTAAATTTCTTTCCTGGTTGTCTAATAATCTCAGTGTAACTGAACAATTTCAGTAAATTTAGTTGCTAGTTTATAAGATAATTAATTTTTGGAAAAAAAAACATGGCAGTGGTAGAAATCAACTATATCGTAAAAAATGTTTGCTTTAATGTCATTATCCAGGTGTAGAACAGAGGAATACTTTAGTACGAATTAAGGGTCGCCTGGATGTCCTCTTAACATAATAATGAGGGTAATAGCAATTTATAGTTTTATTTTATTTTACTTGCAATAGATTTGCAATTTAATCACTAAAACTATGCTTTTTTCACATTCATGGTTTTACCTGTAGTAATAATAATTGATGATAACATTCCTGTCGCAAACATTAAATTCATTTCTGTTGCCTCAGTAGTTTTGCAACGAAGATAGCACTTGGCGCGTCTGATCACTACTGAAGCAAATTTGTTGAGTCGCTCGCCTATGCTCTGGAACATCACCAACCCCAAAGGGATTCCCACCTGAAATTCAATTGTGTTAAAATTAAAAACTAATATTCAAAAGTGATTTTATTATTATAACTCATTTGCTAATCCTATACTGTGCCGGACGGGCGAAACTCTCCGGAGTAAATGTTGTCGAAGATACTTCGCGAGTCGCTCACGTCCTACACCTATAGGTTCCGGTGGGTACTCTCACCTGTGGACTGTAGTTAAAATCAAAATGCACGATTAACAAATACAAATAGCAAGGTATTGGCCAGCGGTTCGACTGATTGATTAGTCGCGAAATTTTATAACTATTTATCACGGTTGTTAAACTACGGTTGTTCACTGTATATTTCAAGATTTCTTTAAATTGTACGGTGGTATCAAATATCTATTGGTAGTAGCTGGTTTTCTAACACTACTGACTAGCAGCTATTATCAACTAAACTAGTTGATTTTATCACTTGTGTAACTGCGAATATCAGTTACCACTTTCACTATATGTAACTGCGAATATCAGTTACGACCTTTTTCGGCTAGCTAACACTTTCACTATATGTAACTGCGAATATCAGTTACGACCTTTTTAGGCTAGGTAACACTTTCACTATTTGTAACTGCGAATGTCAGTTACGACCTTTTTAGGCTAGGTAACACTTTCACTATGTAACTGCGAATGTCAGTTACGACCTTTTTCGGCTAGCTAACACTTTCACTATGTGTAACTGCGAATGTCAGTTACGACCTTTTTCGGCTAGCTAACACTTTCACTATATGTAACTTCGAATATCAGTTACGACCTTTTTTAGGCTAGGTAACACTTTCACTATGTGTAACTGCGAATGTCAGTTACGACCTTTTTAGGCTAGGTAACACTTTCACTATGTAACTGCGAATATCAGTTACGACCTTTTTAGGCTAGGTAACACTTTCACTATGTAACTGCGAATGTCAGTTACGACCTTTTTCGGCTAGCTAACACTTTCACTATGTGTAACTGCGAATGTCAGTTACGACCTTTTTAGGCTAGCTAACACTTTCACTATTCACTATATACTGCTACTAGTCACTTCAGCTACCACCGGATACCACTCACTTCACTTCACTTGTCACTGGTAGTTCTTCACACTACTACGGATACTGGGTCCCGAGCCCCTAAGGTAGACTTGAGCAATACTTTGCAGTGAGCCGCTTGCCATTTTCCGTTTGCCTCTTTATTGCATAAACTTATCACTATACAAATGGCATAAATTGCAATATTTTCTATAGAAAACTAATTGCTACACTAACATGCTATACATCATTAAATCGGTAGTCTGGTACTTTATTAGTATATCATAAAGGTTACTAAAAACATTAATATTGTAAAAAAGTTATTAAACGAAATGTCCCAAATTTTCATAATATTTGGGCATTTTAATTCCTTAATTTTTCTATAACTACGAAAGGCGTTTAATTATACAAAAATATTCCTATACTTCTTTCATCTATAAGCCATATGCTAATTTAATGTCATATTTATAACACTTTTAGGACATAAAATTATTTTCATTATTTTTAGTATGATCTATTACGCAGTTAATTAAAAAACTTCTAGAGAGTTCTACGATAAGACGCGCTGTGATTGGTCGATTTTTTTGGTATATAATAAAAGTTGTTTATATTACTTGTTATCAAAACGACATTCTATACAAACATATTGAGAGTTATAAATATGCTAAATAACTATATTAATACACGTTTTCACTCAGTTTTCTTGGTAATTTCACTATTAATACATAAAACAATATTCTTTATCACTTCGTTTCTTAAAGTTGTTAGGCGGTCGCGAACATCTCTCCCGCCGTGCAGCGTCGCGACGATTTTCTCACAGCGGCGCTGCATCCATTTCGGTGAGCGACGTTGCTTCTACTTCGGCAGCGGCACGAGTTTCCTGGTTGGCCTCTTGATTAGGCCGTTTGCTGTGCGTACCTCCACAGTGCGGATCTGTCCGTCCGCACCGGGATAAACAGCTTCCACCCTCCCTCGTGGCCAGGTGTTACGAGGTAACTGGCCGTCAGCTATGAGGACTGGATCGCCCACCTGGAGATTGGGACCTCGCCCATGGGCCTCCCGCCGGTTTTGAAGTTCCGGTAAATACTCTCGGACCCAACGCTGCCAGAACATGTCAGCGAGTATCTGGGAGCGTCGCCAGTGTCTTTGGCTATTCATATCTTTTTCATCAAATACTCCAGGTGTCGGCAGTCTCGCAGATCCTCCTAAAAGGAAGTGATTTGGAGTGATGGATTCGTCGTCGTCGCTGTCTACAGAGATGTGAGTCAATGGTCTGCTATTTACTGTGTACTCCACCTCGCAGAGCAGCGTGGCTAATACTTCCTCATGCGGATGTCTCTCATGAAGGACGGTGTATAGTGCCGTCTTCACGCATCGTATGAGACGTTTTCTCGTGGTTGATGTTTTATGCAGCAAATTGATAGGAAATCGGGCGAGCTTTAGGTTGAAACTCAGCTGATCGGTACCCGGTTTCCAGATTAATCCGAGTATCTTTTCCTCGGTTCTTTTGTTTCCCAGATCGACTGACTCAGATGCTTCATGGTCAGGTTCTAATTCTTTTACAATTTCTGGTGCGTTGGAAACCCATTTTCTTAAGGTGAAGTGCGCGTTTTTGTGTATGTCGCGTACTTCCTTCGATATTCGCATTGCCTCTTCCAGAGACTGGAAACTGTCGAGATAGTCATCCATATAGTGGTTTTGAATGATAGCTTCTACAGCTTCTGGATACTTGTCTTTGTATTTTTTAGCGTTCCAGTTTTTCGCGAATATGGCTGTGCAGGGTGAACTGGCTGCACCGAAAATGATCGACGTCATTCTATATTCCTGTGGAGCTTCATTACGTCGATTCCCTCTCCAGAGATATCTTAAGGCATCTCTGTCTTCAGGTCTGACTTTAACCTGCATGAACATTTCGGCTATGTCCGCGGAGACAGCGATTTTATGGCGGCGAAAACGCATCATGACCCCTGGTAGTGATTGCAGTAGGTCTGGACCCGTGAGCAGGAAGTCGTTCAATGACACCCCCCTTTGTTTTGGCTGCGGCATCGTGTACTATTCGAAACTTCTCTGGCTTCATTGGGTTATGGACGTCGAAATGGGGTAGGTACCATGTTCTTCCCGGTGTGCTAGTTTTCGGTGCTATCTCAGCGTATCCCTTTTGTACTAGGGAATTCATTTGTTCATCATATTTCCTTTTTAGATCTTCGTCTCGATCTAATTTTCTTTCAATGGACACGAGCCGTTTTAATGCTGTTTCGTAATTACCAGGCATCTCGATATCCTTTTTCTTCCAGAGAAGCGCTGTTTCTATGTGCCCGTCTTGTAACTGACGGGTGCTGCTATTTAGTATATCTTCAGCTTTCTTCTCTGGGTCGGAGTCTGGTCTTCTCGGATTGATAATGAGAGATTCCAGCGCGAAATATTCGCGGAGTTGGTCATCTATAGTAACCTCGCTCTTGTGCAGCTCATTGGCCGCGTGGACGCGCTGATACGGGGCTTTAGTGTGTGCCCCGTGTAGCACCCATCCTAATTCTGTGAGCGAGGCGATTGGCTGGTGCGGCGGACCTCTTCGGATTTGAGTGGCTATCAGAAGTCTCCAATTGTCCTGTCCTATTAGGATCCTTGGGTTGCCGGAGTCATATGTTAGCTGCTCCTTTATGTCTTTCAAGTGCTTGCACTTGGCTATGTCTGCTGCACGCACAGTCTGTGGCCCCAAGTTTAGGCTTTCAACCGTGCGTGCTCTGAATGGCACCCTTTTTCTGTGGAGACTCTTCAGCGATACTTTGATTCTTCGAGATTCCGGTGAATCGAGGGTAGTGTTCCCGATAGCGGTGATCTTAAACGGGTCCAACCGCCCTGTAGCTCCAATTTGTTTGGCTATCTCTTCATCCATTAGTGAAACTGTTGACCCATCATCCAGCAGGGCGTGTGTGTTTACAGCTCCCGCCGGTCCAATTACTCGCACTGGAATTATTTTTAAATAGGCTTGATGCTTTGACACAGTGAATGAGTTAGCAACAGTTTCTTGAGGTTCTTTTTGTTTGACCTCAGTCTTCTCCTTTGTATTGTTATGGAGAAGTCGATTGTGTGTCGCGGTGCAACCTTTTATTCCACACTTATTGGTTTTACATTTGTGTGTCTGATTTCGATAACGTAAACAGCGGAAACATAAATTATTTTGCTTTGCGAGTTCCCATCTTTTGTTAATATTTGCTTCTTTAAATTTTTTACATTCAGATCCGTAGTGACCCTCCTTTTCGCACACTCTGCATTTCGGAGACGGCTTAGTAGTAGCCGCGTGTGCTCTATGTACTGAACGATTGCTTTGTGCTTCGTTTATAATTTCTGGAGGCGCAAATGCACTGCAGAAACGTGCTTGCTCGGTAATAAACTCGCTGAAGCAGCCGAGGTCTGGTCTAGAGTCATATTTTTCGGTGTATATTCTATACCACTGGGCACGTATAGAGTTTGGCAGTTTGTCGGTGAGGTGTCGTAGCAGCTCCGCGTTGACGAGGTAATAAATCTCGTTTTAGGGCTCGAAGAGTGACGACGCTTCCCCTCACTTTGCTCGCGAATGTGCAGATGTCTCTGGGCGATTCTGTACAGCGTGCTAATCCTCGTAACTTCTCGGTTTCTGCTTGTGCGATTGAATCTGGACGCCCAAATTGTAGCTCCAGTTCTAGCATAATCTCATCTGGTTTAGCATGCCCGATGAGTTCTGAACTGACTGTTTCCAAGGCTCTTCCTTGTAGACTTCGTCTTAGTCTAGCAGTGTTTTCAATGTCATTGAAGTAGCCTCGGGTTGTTTCGTAAATGGCACGGAATGAAAGCCACTCGGTATGTGCTCCGCTAAAGCTTGGCAGTGTCATTATAGCTTTCGACGCTGCGAAAGTATGCGACGATAGTGGCGCATTCTCTAACTTTGGTTTGTCAGCGAGCGCGGCTATAGCGGATGTGAGCTCCGATATAAACGGACGGAG